TAAAAAATACTTTATTTATTCTTTTTATTTTGCGTGTATGTGTGTATTGCCTACATGTAGGTAAGTACACCCGTGTTGTGCAATGCCCACAGAGGACAGAAGAGACTGTTGGATTCCCTGGAACTGGAGTTACGGACAGTTGTTAGCTGCCATGTGGGTGCTGGGATTCAAACCCGGGTCTTCTGCAAGAATAGCCAGTGTTCTTAACCGCTGAGCCATCTCTCCAGGCCCACATTTTTAATTCTTAAGAGTCAAGCACATATTAACTCTAAGCCTCATCTGTTGAGTTAACTAGTGCTTAGATAATGATGAGGTAAACAGGGTTTTCTACTCTTGCCTGGATTTTTATGAAAAGGAGAATAGAACTCTTGCTGCAGAAATGCTAGCACTTAAATATGACACTTGTAAATTGTTAACCAGGAGGAACACAGAGGTGGCTGTTAGGCTGAAGTCTGAAGTTTGAAGGCTTTGCTTGCTTTCAGGGAGCAAAAGGTTATATACACTCTAGTGGGAACATACAAACAAAGAGGAGAAAAGTCAAAAGTCAGTTGGTGTTTGGTCCTGGTTTCTTTACTGTGGAACATGGACCAGCAATTTATCAGTGACGGTTTTGCCGGGAACCATCAGTGTCAGACTTTACACCTGCCACATGGCACCATGTCCCTGCCCATCCTTAGAACCAGGCCCCCATCATGGCTGGCTGGGGCCTGTGCAGCCATTGGTCCCCTCTGAGTGTAGTTGTGTAAGTGAACTCTAAGAAATGGGTCCTCGCCTGCTTAAAATCCTTCCAGGCACACAGAGGCCAAAGCAGAAGTCTGGAGTTTTTGAGACCAGCTTACAATGTATTGACTTTGAGGCCAGCTTGAACCACAAGGCAGGATCTTATCTGAAAAATATTCTCTTCCATAATTTTACATATTCCTAGGGTACAATGCATATTAATATTGAAGCTAAGTACTGTAATGCTCTAACCAGGTAACTGGAATTTCCATTTTCTCAGACATGCAGTATTTCCTGGTATTGGGAAACATTAAACTCCTTCTCTTTAGCTCTTTTAAAAATACAGTAAATTGTTACTATATTTACTCTGTTGCGATATAGCATTTCCTTTCAAATGTCCTTCCCTCGCCCTTAGTTTGCTTTTTGTTGCTGTGATAAAACACTCACCAAAACCAACTTTGGGCAGAAAGTATTATTTTTGCTTATTTGATCATGGTCCATCACCGAGGGAAGACAGGGAAGGAGCTCAAGGCAGGAACCTGGAGGCAGAAACTGAAGCAGAGACCATGGAGGAATGTTGCTTACTGGCTTGCTCCCCTGGCTTGCTCAGCTACCTTTCTTAAACAGCTCAGGCCCACCTGCCTAGGGATGGCACCAACCATAGTGAGATGAGCCCTCCTCCATCAAGAAAATGTCCCACACGGGGATGGAGAGGTTGCTCAGTTGTTAAGAGCATTAGCTGCTCTTGCAGAAGACCCAGGTTCAAATCCCAGCACCCACGTGGCAGCTAGCAACTATCCATAACTCCAGTTCCACAGGATTCGATGCCCTCCTCTGACCTTCGCAGACCACGGGTGCACTTATATGCGTGCAGGCAATACACTCATACATAAAATAAAAATAGTAAATTAAAAAAAAGGAAATACCCCACAGACAAGCCCACAGGCCGGTCTGATGAAGGAAATTCCTCAGCTGAGGTCCTCTCTTCCCAAATGACTAGTTTTCTCAAGTTGACAACAACTAACCAGCACAGGCCTCCCTTTCTCAGAGTACCGTGGGTTTATACCTTTGATGTGTGGGGTATACCTACTGCTGTTACACATCCCAAGGGGGCTATACTGCACCTTTGTTCATAGTTTTATGAGGGCTTCAATCTGTTGGAGGTTATATTAGAAATACATCCCCCCAGATCGATGAAACAGAAACCTGACCTCAGTAGGGAATCTTTCTGTGTGTGTGTGTGTGTGTGTGTGTGTGTGTGTGTGTGTGTGTGTGTGTGTGTGTGTGTGTGTGTGTGTCTTTTGGAGAGAGGGTTTCCCCCTAGCCCCAGCTGGCCTGGAACTCACTATGTAGACCAGGCTAGCCTCGAACTCACAGAGATCTTAGTGGGGAATCGTAAAAGCATGAATATGTTGGAAACACTATTGTGCATTTTCACTGCAAACATAAACTGGCTTGGGCATCATTTGATGCAGAGGAGAGGCCTTTGGTTGGACTGTGGGCCCCACCAGGCGCTCTCTGCACTGGGCTGCAGTGTGTCTGAGCAGCAAGATTCCCATCTGAGTCTTCATCTTTGCAGTGCAGCAAGTCCTAGGCTTGGTAATCACACTGACTCTGCAATGCTTTTAGATTTTGATGACTTTCCCCCTCAAACCCATATAGTCTATATTACAAGTATATTGTCCTCAGTAACTCTGACAGCACTTAAAAAATGATTTAACTTTTTTACATCCTTAAAAATATTCGACTTGGGGGTGACGGGATGGCTCAGTTGGTAAAGTACCTGTGACACGTGTTGTCAACTTCTGGCCTCCAGGTGCACCTGCAGGTACATGAGCACCCACCCACACTAACAAGTGCACACAACACAGTACATAACAACACATAAAAATACAAATAAAAGTGTATTCAACTTAATTAAAAATAAAATGAAATAACAGCATCGTTCTCTTGCATTATAAGGCAGCTTTATAAGGCAGCATCACCATTTAGGACAGTTGAACATTACAAATGGTGCCTGGTGGGGACAGAAGTGGGTCCACACTGGAAAGCGGCCTCCCAACTTAGGGTGCTGATCTTCGCTTGTGACCACAGTGGGCACCTGATCGTGTTTCTAAGATAGAATGGAGCCCATTGCATAGCTGGTGACTTGGGTAAGGAAAGAGGGTTAAAAGTCCCATTTGGCATGTTGTAGATTACCAAGAGCTGTGAAGAACAGACGTGCTTGGATCTCTTTGGGCCTCCAATAGCCTGCTCTCTCCTCAGCCAAAAAGCCCCTTCCTTGTTTTTCTGCTCAGTCTCATTACACTATTTTCCCTGTGACACATGTCACTGCGAAGCTCCCTCATTTCAAGCTGTTTTTCCTTGATTTCTTTCTCTCACCATCCCCATTCTGCTAGGGTATGTGCTCCAGGAGACGAGCCCTTTGCTTGTTTTGCATTACCCCACATTCCAACCCGAGGATGGGACCCCATACACAGACAGGCTGGGGAGAGAGCTTTTGAATAAGCACATCTATTCTACTTTCTGTTGCTGTGACAAAACACCCTGACCCAATGCAACTTATGGAGCAAGAGTTTATTCTGCCTACCATTGCAGGCAGGCGCTCAAGCCACTGGTGACATCACATCTACTGTCAAGAGTAGGGGAAATGAGCACAGCCACACTGTCTGCTTCTGCTTCTGCTCAGCCAGCTTCCCTCCCTCTCACAGAGCCCCCAGCCCAGCCCCTGAAACGGCGCTGTCCACATTCTGGGGGTCTTCCCACCTCAACAAACATTCAGAGGGTCTTCCCACCTCAGTGAAGACAGACTCCACAGACCAGCCTGGTCTAGGAAATTCCTCGATCGGGGCTCTCTTCCCAGGTGATTCCAGGTTGTGCCAAGTTGACAAAATGACCATCACAATGTCAATGTGTGAAACGGCGCTGCGGTGGCAGCCCTTCATAGGGTCCACCGTTTAGAACAGGAAGACACGGCCTGGTTTGAAGTCTTTCCCATGGTGGGGCTGTGCCATGCAAACCTTCATCCCAAGGTTTCTTGTTTGGATTTTGAAGCACTGTGTGGGCCTCTTTCAGTGTATCTGTCGGAATGCAAGACTGGCATCGGGAAGGGCTACCGAGGAACCATGTCTAAGACGAAAAGTGGTGTCACCTGTCAAAAGTGGAGTGCCACCTTCCCCCACAAACCCAAGTAAGTCTTTCTCAAGTAAGTTTGTGTTCATGGATGCATTTAGAACAATTCCATCACTTCCAAATCAAACCTAAATACGAATGAGAGCAGGCAGAGGATTCAGAGTAGTTGAACTATTCATAGCACAACAGCAGAAAATTGTTGCTTTCTGTTTTTCTTGTTATGGAATTTTCTGGAAGTCCTAAAATGTAAAAGTCCTAGTGGAAAGAACCATAGAACTGATTTGAGGCTGTCCCAATTTCATTTCTGTTGCTATGATTAAAAATCATCCTGACAAAAAGCAACTCAGGGAAGAAGAGGCCTCACTCAGGCTCACGGTTCCAGGTCACAGCCAACACAGTGGGGAGCCACAGCAGAAGTTTCTAGCAACTAGTCACATCACATTCACAGTCAAAAATACAGAGAAATATGTGCTTAGCACCCTCTCTACACTTACACAGTCCACAATCCCCTGCTTAGGGAATGGTACTACTCACCGTGGGCTGAGTCTTCCCACATCAGTTAACTTAATCTAAACAACCCTCCCACACAGATATATTCATAAGCTAATCTGATCTAGATGATGCCTCCTTGAGACTCTTCCAGGTGGTGTCAAGTAGAGGATGTTAGTTAAAACTAAGCATCAAGAGGTCAAGTAGAAGAAGAGACCAATGACTCTATTTAGAGATGGGTGTGTCTCAATCAAACATTAAGTTAGAATTTGCAGGACACATCCACCTCAACATTGTGACTCAGCAAGGACTCAAAATATTAAAAGGAAATAGAAAGCTTGCAACTTGCATACTAGTTTAGGGTCAATTATTTTGTATTTTCCCCAGCATAGCATTAGATGATGCCAGGGCCATCCCTATAATCCAACCTCATCTCTGAGGCACGTAAGTCCTGAACAGGTGGGTTCCCCCAAATAGGTAGATAGAAGAGCAAGAAATAGAGCTTTCCTCTTCAGACTGCAAGTTCTCGTGCATTTTATCTAATTAATTATCTACATAGAAAGTCAAATCTAGAAGAGAAGATGAGCTTAGTGTTTTGCCCACCCAGATCATCCAGATTGCATTTCAGAGAAAAGCCAACCTGTGGGATCAGACCAGATCTTCCCAGTCTTGCTAGTTATTCAATCTTAGGCACCACCTGTTTCACGTACATTGCCACACTCTATTTCCCACCTGCAGACTGAGGATAGTAACCTCTTCCTGATAATTTTTTTTCCTATTAAAGGCAAGTGAGAGAATATAGAGGAAGATTTCCTCAGACTGTCAGGGCCAGAGCTCCACAAATACAAATGTATTTGTTGCTGTGATTTTTATGGCCACTGGGGAAAGCATGTGTTTGGCATAAACCAAGGATTCGACAGGTATTTGAGGCCTCAGCACACCTAGTGCCTGTTGAGTAGAAATGCTTTGGTTCAACTTCTAAGACTCAGCTGCCCATATAGTAACTAACGGTAGTAAGATGGGCCATCAGCACAGCAAAGAAGAATTTGACAGGCCAGATGTGACAACTGGCTGCTTGACTGCATTGGCACCACAGAACCAAAGCTCCGAACAGGAAGCACAGCATCTCTGTCTGGCTTGTTCACTAGCTTTAAGGAGTTGGTCACAATACTTCTTTTCCATCCCATAGCTTTTCTCCTGATAAACACCCCAATGAAGGGCTGGAGGAAAACTATTGCAGGAACCCAGACAGCGATGAGGAGGGGCCCTGGTGCTATACAACAGACCCGGATAAGAGATTTGACTACTGCGACATCCCTGAATGTGAAGGTAGGGGTGGCTCCAGAAACCTTCTTTCATCTGTTTCTTACCCTGAATATGCTGTTCAGCTATTTCCCAAAGAGGTGTCATTAAAGCCAATTAGTGCTGTACATCACATAACTGATTAGTGCTGTGCATCACACAACTGATTAGTGTTGTATATCATACAACTGATCCATCCATCACAAAGGGATTCGCCACTTGCTAAGGAGGGAAAATTTGCTCAGTCCCCCAGCATTGTCCTTAATTCTCTTTATTAAGTGTTACTTCAACATGTTATACATATGAAACTAAATATAAACTTGAGCTACAAACTCTTAGGCCTAAAACTCTCACACAGTGTAAAACTCCAAACACCTTTGCAATTAAATAGCTAAATTTAAACCATGAAATCATATGTGTAATTGCTCTGTTGTATCTGGAAAACAGTTTCCTTGTGGTTTCCACCACCTCTGGCTCTTATAATCTTTCTACCCCCTCTTCCACAATGATCTTGAACCTTAGGGGAGAGGGTGTGATGTACGTGTTCCATTTAGGGACAAGCACCCTGAGCGTCCTAATTTCTGTGCGTTGACCACTTGTGGGTCTCTGTGTTAATCATCATCTGCTGCGAGAAGTTTCTTTAGTGAAAGTTGATAGATGCACTAATCTGTGGGCATAATAAGTCATTAGGAATGGGTTTAACACTATGCCCATTTACTAGGATAATAGTAGTAGGATTTCCTCTACAGCCTGTGACCTGTCTAACCACAAGTTCTTGACCCCAATAAGAATGTCAGGTATGAGCTTCAACTTAGGAAACGGGCCTTGAATCCAATCAGAAAGTGATTGGTTACTCCCATAGCATTCAAGCCACTGTTGCACCAGTAGGCGTATCTTGCCAGGACAGTCATTACTGAACCCACAGTGCTTGTGAGAGTATGCCAAAGACCTACACAACTCAGATAAAAACCTGGCATGGAGGGGAGATCCCAGGAACCTAGGAACTCCACCTAGTAGAGGAGCTATTGGCAACTGATAGCTGCTGGGAGAGGGAGAGTCAGTTTTCTTTAAGGGTGTGATTCCAGGTAAATTGACTAGGCTCCAGGTGGATGGACCCATACCCAAGAGCATTTGGGGAACACAAATTAGACTTGATAGGCCTTAAAAAATAGAGGACATGAAATAGGGGGTAGGATAGTTCTGAGAGGGCATAGGGAGGGGGTAAGAATATGATCAATATACATTGTATGAAATTCTCAAAGAATCAATAAAAATATTATAAACACCCATGAAATTGGGCTGGAGAGATGACTCAGCAGTTAAGAGCACTGACTGCTTTTACAGAGGACCTGGGTTCAATTCCCAGTACCCACATGGCGGCTAACAACCATCTGTAACTCCAGTTCCAGGGGGTCTGACACCTTTCTTTTGACCTCTGAGGGCATTGCACAACACAGGTGCACTTACACACATGCAGACAATATATGCATACACATAAAAAAATAAAAATAATGAATATTTTTAAAAAACCCATAAAATCAATGAAATTTAAGTACACAATAGCAATGCTTTAATATGAGTGATTTTGTTGCCCCAGCACTCCTTTATTCCAATGGGCCAATCAATTTTATAGAGCTCTTCAAAGGTCATTGCTAAAAAATTGAAACATCAGACTAGAGAAAATGTGTTGATTTCCCATTTCTGGGTATGTTTAGAGCAGGAGAGAGAAAACCCAAGTGGGGTTTATTCACCCATGTATTAGTTACAACACCATGACCAAGGAAACTTATAGGAAGAAGAATTTATCTGAGCTTACAGTTCCAGGTTCTACAGGGATTAGAGTCCTTCATGGTGGGGAGGTGTGGTGATGAGGTGCCTGGAGCAGGAGCAGAAGCTAAGCGCTCACATCTTCAAGCAGGCACAGGAAGCAGAGACTGACTGGAAATCCAGCAAGGCTTAAGAATTCTCAAAGCCTGCTGTGAGTGACATCCTTCCTCCAGCATGGCCACACCTTCTAAGACCTCCCAAAACAGCACCACCAACTGGGGACAGAATGTCCAAATACTTGAAGCCTATGGGGGACCTTCTCATTCCAACCAGCACAGCCTATGTTGATGTTTCTCGTGCTGACTCTCTTTTCTCACCACTTTACCTACATGGACAAAGGAGATTCTGTGTTTGGATAAAGTCACAGGTCATCGGACTTTAAATCCCATGAATACATAGTTTTTATCTCACATCTGCAGCTGTTTTCTTTATTACCCCATAAAAACTCCAGTTGTGTGTTACTCTGTCTCACTATGTGACTTCAACAATTCCAAGTCAAAGTTTCAGTTTTTAAGTAAGTTAGAAAGCAAAATAACAGGGGCTGAAGAGATGGCTCAGTGGTTAGGAGCACTTACTGCTCTTCCAGAGGATCCGAGTTCAGTTCCCAGCACCCACATGACAGCTAATACCCATCCTTAACTCCAGTTCCAGGGGATCCAGTGCCCTCTGCAGACACCAGCCATGCATGTGGTACAAATACATGCATGCTGGCAAGATACTTGTACACATAAATAAAATAAAATATTTTTTTAAAAGCAAGCAAGCAAAATAACAAGAAGTCGTGTTTCTCAGCAGCATTAGAAGAAAGGCTTGGCCACCTGAGGTGGGTGACATCCTCCAGGGAGGTCACTGGGGACTAACAAACACTCCAGCACGAAAATCCCTAGATGGTCTCCATTTATTTGTCAGTCATCAAGTAAGCAGAAGAAATTCATAGAATTTTGTAAGATAATTACTGAAACAATTATGTCCACTATTTTAAAATTATAATGGAGAACTTACAGGCTACTGGGACTATGTGCTCCTCCTCCCCAGAGATGTACCCCCCAGTTTAAGGATGTGCATTATGGAGCTTCTGAATTTGGACATGGTCACTGCAGTTAAGGTGGACTAGATCCAGATAGGCTAAGCATACCATTCGAGAAAGAACAACATTTTGGTTCTGCATCAGAACAGTCTGTTTTGCTGTCAAGTGGTTATGGAAGTCACGATGAACCAGGGGCAGGAAGGCTTGGGGACATCGCAAAGGGAATCCAGTATCTGCGCTCTGCTTTGCTTCATCTCAGTTTCTTTCTTTCACCCTTCCCCTCTTCCCGAAACTGTACAGAAGAATGTATGCACTGCAGCGGAGAAAAGTACGAAGGCCAAATCTCCAAGACCATGTCTGGCCTTGACTGCCAGGCCTGGGACTCACAGAGCCCACACGCTCACGGATACCTTCCTGCCAAGTAAGCCTGACTACCAACACTCCACGGCTCTTCAGACTTGAGCTGTTCTTCGGATAATTTCATTTTGCCTTGAGAAGGGAAGGGCAGAAGGCTTTGAATTCCAAAGTAGGCATCCTCCCTCTGCACTGCAGGTGGCATGTACATGCTGCCTACTCATTGTGTGGTCCAGGGACATCATGGCTGCTTGTTAAAAACGCAGCATCCTAGGCCCTCCGAATCGAGTTTGGGTTATAATCAGATGTGCAGCTGATATGTATTTCTGTTAAAATTGGAGAAAACAAAGATTTTTCCTTCATGCCTTTCGCATCTCTTCACTTTGCACCAATGAATGCCAGCCTAGGCTTTCTAACTGTGGTCTGTGGGTGACCATCGAGGGTCTTCCTGGATTGCTGTTGAAGGACCCCTTTCCTCTAATTACATCCCTGGCACCTGTCCGTGCCAGGCACACAGTGCTCATGATTGCTCATCCTTGAAGGTTTTCATGCAGGAATGTAAATGTTCGTTGCTACTGAAATCCCTTCTCGTCCGCTCAGATTTCCAAGCAAGAACCTGAAGATGAATTACTGTCGTAACCCCGACGGGGAGCCTCGTCCATGGTGCTTCACCACCGACCCCAACAAACGCTGGGAATATTGTGACATCCCACGCTGCAGTAAGTCTAGTTCACACCGGTACTCTGGGATTCCCACCTTCCCTGTCCTCGGAAACATGCTGGGTCTAAAGACCGGTAAACAGGTCCACAGATGCGCTTTGCCCTTTGGTTTCCTGCCCTTTAACATGGTCTGTTGGTTGTGAGGTAACTGCTCACAGGTAAGTGCTCACGGCATCCATTCGCCATGCTTCTTTTCCCCATCAGAGCCTTCTGCATGAATGCTATCAAAGTTTTGAAGCAAAAGCCCTGGCTTTGGGAGTCTCAGCAGACTGGGCTCCATCCCCATCCCAACATGACCGTTAAAGATGCTGGAGTGGTGAAAGATGGAGAAAGGTTTAACCAGTGTGGCCACATTGGGAAGTATGGATAAAGAGGTTCAGTGATGCCAAGTCTGTCTTCAAGGGCTGGCAGGAGTGCTGGGCTTTTATAGAAAAAAGAAACCAAGGGAGGCTTTGGGGTTCGCAGATGCTCTTGGTCATGCGGTGGGCTGCTGATCACTGTCCCAACTCCAGCACCCTTCTTCCACAAAGCCGTATGACTGAGAAAGCCCATGGAAAAGAAGGTAAACGTCCTGAGTACACATGCTCCAAGTTATCGTCATCCTTGAGGGGGCAGAATGACTCCCATGAGAAGGTTGTTCCTGATCTGTGATGCACCCTCACTGTCGGGGGTGATCTGTCCTATGAGGCTCAGCTCCTTGTTTCTATGGGGTGGGTTTACTCCTTTGCATAAAGATATTTAGCTAGAGGCTGGGGAGATAGTTCAGTCGGTAAAGTGGGTAAAGTGTTTGTTACACAAACATGTCCTGAGTTCAATCCCCAGAACCCACATTAAAAACATTGAGCATGATGGTGCTCCTTCCTAATCCCAGTGCTGGAGAGGTGAAGGCAGGAGGCTCCCCAGGCTTTCCTGGCTAGCCAGCCTAACATACTTGATGAGTTCCAGATCAGTGAGAGACCCTGGCTCAAAAAGTAAATGAGCGACAGCACCTAGGGAATGACATTTGAAGTTGTCCTCTGGCCTCCTTCCACATCTGTATGCACAGGTACTCCCCCATATACAAACAAACTGTTACACACACACACACACACACACACACACACACACACACACACATCAGTCTTGTCATTCTTCAAATCCAAGGTAACTGCAGAACAGAATGATTCAGGAAGAAGTCAAGAGGCAAGACAGAGGACACTGGGAATTAATTAGGTCAGTGTCCTTCTAGAGCACAATCAAGTGCAGGTTCTAGGATGCAGCTCTGCCATTCCAGATTTCCCTGTGCTGAGCGGAGCCTACAAGCATGGCTGTTTCACAAACTTCATTGCCAGGCAGAGTTCCAGAGTTCTTTCTTACCTGTTCTTTCAATTCAGATGTCTGTGGGTACCCAGTTGTTTTAGTCTGTCTAACTTGTGGAGCTCAGGAGAAGTGGGAGGGCAAGTCAAGGTGACATGGAGGGAGCAATCACATACTGCTCCATCTTTGAGAATTAGAGCCAAGAGTCTGCGAGTTTAGACAGACCTCCAGCAAATGTGAGAAAGGACCCCTGAGGGATGGCTTCCCTCCTTCGCTCTGCCTGTCATACTTGGGCAGCTGGGCTTCCTCTGTATACACCAGCTTCTCCTGGTGTCCTCTTCACCTCAAGTGTGTCTTAATGACTGGCTGAATGCATCTCTTTAGAGATATTTGGTTCACGCTGCTTCTCTGTATTTTTATTTTACTGATTCCTGAGGGATGAATGGAGATGTGTCCAGCTTTAACTGCAGATCTATCTATTTCTTTCTTTAGTTTTAACTGTTTGCCTTCTGTATTTTAAACTCTGTTGTTAAGAACATACATTCTTAGCACATTACCTTCTTTCCCATGGGCTCCTTCCCAGTTGTATGGCTTTGTGGAAGATGGGTGCTGGACAGTGTTTACCCAGTGGGTCATGTGTTCTTCATAAAAGGACTTGGCTCACTGGCATATGTAAGAATTTGAGGTGGGAGAAGACTCACACTGATTCTTACCAGGCATGACAAACCAACAAAAAAGACTAGAGAAGGTGGCATCAGTTTCAAGGGTTCATCTCTAGAGAAGTTTCTGGTTCATAGATACAGACTCTACCAGACTGACTTCTTCGGAAAATACTAATAACTTCCAAGAAGCAAAAGAGGAGACAGACTGATCACCTTACATCCATCTTCACATAACATCTATTGGTGCATTCTTTATCTGAAAAATATTCATTATACATTTTTTCCCCATTCAAGCAACACCTCCACCCCCTTCTGGTCCAACCTACCAGTGTCTGAAAGGAAGAGGTGAGAGCTACCGAGGGACAGTATCTGTCACTGTGTCTGGGAAAACCTGCCAGCGTTGGAGTGAGCAGACCCCTCAGAAGCACAACAGGACACCAGAAAACTTTCCCTGCAAGTATGTCCCTCCTGCGTACCTCCCCCTCTGTTGCTGTGGCCATGCAGCCCTCGGACTTTGCCTTGGCTCTAGTTGCCATAAGAACCCAGGAATGAACGTTCAAGAATGGAAACCAAGTTATGTGCAGGGGAAGTGAAATTCAGAAATGTTTTTCCTGCTACAGTCTCTCAAAGTGTGGTCCCCAGACCCGCAGAATCAGTTCCACCACAAACTTGCTAGAAATGCTAACTCTTGGACTGCACTCTAGATTTACAAGGTTTGAAACTTTGGGGGTGGGGCCCAGAAATGCACATTAAGACCTGACAGCTTGGGGTCGGAGAGATGACTCAGAGGTTAAGAGCACTGGCTGCTCTTGCACAGGACCTGGGTTTGGTTCCCAGCACCCACAAGGGAGCTAATGGCCATCCGTAATTCCAGTTCTAGGGAACCTGAAGCCCTCTTTTGATCTCTGCAGGCATTGTATGATATGGGTTCACTTACATACATGCAGGCAATAAACTCATGTGCATAAAATAAAAATAATAAATTGCATATTAAAAAATCTGACAACTTTACTCTGTAACACTAAAATCCCATGCCAGGGTTGTATACACACAGAAGCAGCAACAGTGTGGGAAATGCCCGTTGTGTTTCCAGCATACAACACAGTGCCCAACTTGGAGCAAAAGACCTATTCAGTCACACAGGACCCTCCTATGCAATGACTCCATGACATACCGTGAGCTAAGCTCTACTTAAGCTTCCTTCTGGTACCTGTCAGTCATTCAGTGTGTGGGATTCGACAGTATTAGTTGAATATGTGTCTTGTATCTCCACTAATGAGCATGTGTGCACCTTGTTTATTTAGACTCTGAAAAGTCAGACACATTTCTTTTCCAGAAATTTGGAAGAAAACTACTGTCGTAACCCTGATGGAGAAACAGCTCCATGGTGCTATACCACAGACAGCAAAGTGCGGTGGGAGTACTGTAGCATTCCATCCTGTGAGTCCTCGGCATCATCTCCAGAACTTTCGGATGCTTCATGTAAGTAAGAGTGGGTCATGAGAGCTTACCGAGTGTCCAATTTCTCTGTTTACGTTTGTGGATCAGTGGTTCCATCACGATGTATCAATGAGTGGTATTTTTGCTTCATTTAAACGCTCTGGTCAGAGAGCATGCTTCTGGGGTTCCGAGTACAGTGTTGATTTGTTGTCTCATGACTCAAAATACAGTCTTGATAATGTTTCATGAGCTCCTGCTGTCATGGTTAGAGTGCTTCTTCTGAAGGTCCACTGGACATGTTGTCTACTAGGGATTCTCTTCTGTGTTCCTGTTATATTGATCACTGAAGGATGGCTAGTGACATGTCCAGCTTTAACTGTAGATTAGTCTATATTTCTTTTTGGTTGCAGTTTGAAGCTCTGTTGGTGTGTACATGCACATGTAGATACCTCCACCTTCTTGATGAAATTGCAATGTCTTCCCTTGTTTCTGAAAATATTCCTCATTCTGCAGTTTATTTTTTATATGAATATGGGGACTTTTACAGCTCTATTTTCACTAGTATTTGTGTGGCTAATCTTTTTTAGGTTTTTAATTGAGATTTTTGGACCAGTTGCTTTAATATAATTGTGAATAGGGTTGGCTGTAACTTTTCTATTAAGTTAGTTGTTTCTCTTAGTTCTATTTGAACTTTGTTCTTTTTTTCCCATCACTTTTGGCCATCATTTAGAATGTCTATTTTATGGACTTTTATTTCCACTATTTACTTATTAATTATCTTCCCTAATGCATAAAATAGTCATATTTCCTTCTCCAAACAATATTGTTTTGTTGATGTATAATATGACAATCTTACAGCATTGTACTTTTGCTAACCCCTCCCGAAGTTTCTTTCATTTGTTTAAAACAGGATTGCTCTGGTTTTTCTCCCATGATGGCTGCTTATTTCTATTTTGTTACAATCTCTTACTATTTTTGACTATGTTTATATTTTTTCACCAGTGTCAGCAGTGTCTTAAAATGATTATAAAGAAAATATTTTATATTATATTGCTTAGGTATTTTTTCTATTTCAGGGCTCTTCATGTCTTTGTAAAAATCCACATTTCCATCTGCCATCACATTCTTTCTCTAATAACCATGTTCAGCATTTCTCAGAATACAGACCTGCTACTCCCAAGGTCGTTCCTGTGCATCAAAATGTCTTATTTTGTCCTCAGTTTTAACAATCAATTTTGCTGATTATGGTAGTGGGTTTGTAGTATTATTTCACTAGTTCAAAGACAAAGCTCCATTACCCTCTGCTTTGGACAGCTTCTGACCCAACATCTTCTGTTGGTGCTTATGGAATTTAGGGTGCCTTTAAGATACCCTGTCATGCACTGGGAGTGTTGGCATGCGCCTTTAATCCCAGCCCTCGGGAGGCAGAGGCAGGTAGATCTCTGTGAGATCGAGGCTACCCTGGTTCACAATCGTGACTTCCAGGTAGGCTGTGATTAGGGAGACCCTGTCAAAAAACAATCAACAAAACCCCCCAAAAGACTATGTCTCAAAAAGACCAAAAACAGAAAAAAAAAAAGATACCCTGTCATGTGTGCCTTTCAGTGGTTTGACCATGGTACCTGTGTGTGTGTGTGTGTGTGTGTGTGTGTGTGTGTGTGTGTGTGCATATATTTTGTATTTATTCTGTTAGGGTTGTTTGAGCTCTTTAGACTTTTGGATTCTTATTTTTATTATCCTTATTAAATTATCCATTTTCTGATCGGGGCCCTCCCTACTTGGACCCCATGTGCCATTTCATGTTGTCCTTTGTCCTTTCTCTGTCCTTTGTTTTTCACTGATTAATATTTAGACCCCCTTCCCCTGTCTTCACCCTTCCTATACACTCCCCCCCCCCGCTGGATTTCATGTACTGTCATATATGTTAATGCTGATTGAGCCAAGTTTGTGTCCCCAAATGTCCTTTGGCGTGTGTCCTATCTAGCTTGATTAACTTACCTAGTGCCACATCCTTAGAGAAAAGCAATAATCCCTCTCCCAGTAGTTATTGGTTGCCAATAGTTCTTCATCTAAGGTTGGGGTTTCTTACCCACTTTCCGTCTTCTATGCTGGGATTTTGTCTGATTTGAGCTTGCATGGGTCTTGTGCATGCTGTCACCACTGCTCTGAGTTCATATGACTAACTTCCCAGCTGTCTGGAAAACTGTTTCCTTGTGGTCATCCACCCCCTATGGGTCTTACAATCTTTCTACCTCTTCTTTTGCAATGATTCCCAGAGCCTTGGGTAGCAGAGGTTTGATATAAGTGTCCTATTCAGGGATAAGAACTCTGCAGATGCTTATTCTCTGTACTTCGACCTATGGCTTACTGGGTTAATCACCATCTGTTTCATACAGAAGTTTGGCTGGTGAGAGTTGAGAGATGAATTAATATTCTCTCTGCCCTCTGTTCCAAAATGTTCCCTTAGGTGTTGTGTTGGTTTGAATGAAAATGTCCCCCATAGGCTCCAAGTATTTGGACATTTTGTCCCCAGATGGTGGCACTGTTTTGGGAGGTTTTAGAAGGTGTGGCTGTCCTGGAGGAAGCATGTCACTGGGGGTGGGCTTACAGAGTTCTTAAGCCTTGTCAGATCTCAGTTTCTCTCTTGCTTCCTGTGCCTGTGTGATGATGTGAGAACTTAGCTTCTGCTGCTCCTGCTCCAGCCACCTCCAGCCACCATGCCTCCCTGCCATGACGAACTGTAACTCCCTTGGAACCGTAAGCTCAAATAAACTCTGGTAGGAGATTCATGAGCGAGAACTTGTGCACATGTGGAATCACTAGTTGTCAGTACTTTGGCCTTTATTGTTCCTCTCCTGAGCTTCAAGCTAAATATTTTCCAGAGAAACTAGGCCATCAGTGTTCTACAGTGCTATAAATCTTGTATATGTGTATGTATGTATAGGCATGCATCTGTATGTATGTGCAAATGTGTATGTGTACCTGTGCATGTGTCAATATGTACATATGTATGTATATATGTGCATGTATGTATGTACATATGTGTATGTGCACACATGCTCATATGTGTATATGCATGTCTATGTGTATGTGTTTGTGCCAGTATGTGCATGTATGTATATATATGCATGTGTATGTATATATTTGTACATATGCATGTGTCTGCATGTATGCTTATATGTGCATGCATGCATATGTGTATGGGTGCATATATGTGTACATGTATATGAGTGTACATATTTGTGTGTGTGTTTGTGTGTGTGCCCTTGTGCACTTGACCTTCTCTTTTTCTCCTGCTTCCCCTTTCAGCACTGCCTGAGCAAACCCCTGTGGTCCAGGAATGCTACCAGGGCAACGGGCAGAGTTACCGGGGCACCTCATCCACCACCATCACAGGAAAGAAGTGTCAGTCTTGGACATCCATGAGTCCACATCGGCATGTGAAGACCCCAGAGAAGTTCCCAAATGCGTATGTCTTTGATTTTAACCATGAAAAAAATCAATAGCCAATTTTCCTTCCCCAAGATTATGAAAATACTTTCCTATGTTTTTTTCCTAGAAGTTTTGCATTTCAGTTTTAATTATAGCTTCTGCATTTAAGTCTAACAGCTTTTGATTTTTTCATACATGCTGATACATGCTAATCTACCTGTAAAATGCTACAAGACTTTGGAAATCAATGTGTGGCTTCTGATGAAGTTAAGTAGATGTGAATGTACCCTCTAAATCTGCAATTCTATTCCTATTTACCCCAGGAAAAATGAAAAAAAATCTCTCTTAAAGAGATTTATAAGAATATTCATTACAGGCCTGATGAGATGACCCAGTGGGCAAAGGCATCTGCTGCACAAACATGGCTACATAAGTTAGTGCCCCAAAAGTCATGTAAAGTTAGAAAGAGAGAAGTAATTGCACAAAATTGTCCTCTGACCATACGCATGCCCTGACACATGTACCCACACTCACACGGACATCACATACATACACTACTACTAATAATTTTTAAAGGAAAAAGATTATTCATAGCAGCTTTATTTACGATAGACTTCAGCTGTAAACAACACCAATGACCATCAGTAGAAAAAAGTGAGTTAGCAATTTTTGGAATAGTCATGCATTGGCTAGAGCCCAAAAATATTCAGGAAAGAAGCTATCTACAAAAGTGCACATTCTGTAGGAATCCATTTATATGACAAGAAGAGGCAAAACTACTACTGGGAAAATAAACCATAGTAGAGGTGGGGCAGCAAAGATGGAGTTTCCAGGGTTACAAGAATGCATGTTGTGAGACTGTTTATCAAACACATCAAACTCCTTTCATATGTGCTTCTCACTAGATTTATTAATTATTTTTGTGTCCTTGTGACCCAAACACCTAATAGGAAAAACTTAAGGCAGGAAATATTTATTTTGACTCACATTTTCAGAGGGCTCAGTTTGTGACTGTGTGACCCCAGAACATCATGGCAGCCAGAGCATGGGGTGGAGGAAGCTGTTCATTTAACAGCATACAGGAAGCAGAGAGAGTGACAGGAAGTGGCTAGAGATAATATTACATTAAGGAAATAAGACCCCAGTGACCTCCCTTCCCCTCCAACACCCTACATCTTTCACCCAGACTCCACTTCCTGAGTTACCAGGACTTTTCAAAGCAGAACCATGAAACAAGGGCCTGTGGCAGGCGTTTCAGATACAAGTCGTACCACTAGACGTAAAGCACATCTCAACTAAAAGAAAGCAGGCATGTGTTTCAAACATGAAGCTTTTAGCTTATTTAGTTGTGTGGGGAACCCATTGACAGACTTTCTCCAGGTGTGGACCTGAGCTTGAGGCTGAGCCACTTGTCTGCAGTAGCTCCACACAGTCTTAGGTGCCAGCTTCCAGTTTCCTCAGAGAATGCAAGTCTGAGCTGAAAGGACTCCAAGGCTGAGGATTCTGGGAGCTCAGGGCAATGTTCTTGGCGGGGGCGGGGGGAGGGGGGCGCCAGGAAGGCGATATCATTCAGTGTGCCCTGGGGTCATCTGCTGTTTCTTACTCAAGTTTTTTGTTTGTTTTTTTTTTTTCCCCCAAACTCCTTTACAGCCCTTCAGTCCCTTCAGGGCCCTCAGTCTACTGGGACATCACCCCTATCCCTTCTAACTGTTCTTTAACTTATACCCCATTGTTTGAGTCTAGCTTCTATAGATAGATGGCAGATCCAGAGCAGGAGCTCCAGCCCAGGAGTATAGAAATGTCATCCTGCCGGGGAACTGGTTTTCCAGGCCAGCTCTCATGAATATTTCATATACAAAGCGCACTTGACCAATCAGATACCATATTTACAGTGACATTAATTTTTTAATTTCTACTCATTATAAATGTGCAGAATTTTAGCTACAGATGAACTTGGAATGCTGTCCTTTTAATATTCATTGTTTCCTTTGGATAACATATTTTTGTCTCAATTTACATAGCCCTAGGTAGTCATATATAGAAAGATATCCATAAATTTGTATTTGTTTTTAAAAATCTGAAATTACACTTAAAATCTATATTGCATTTGGCAGAGTATGGGAGGAGGATATTATGGCACTTTTTTACATTGAATATATTGTCTAAGTTTTCTTGAGGTATTTGTTATTTTTGATTAGAGGACCATTTGATTAGTGGAACATTTTAAAGGCACTTGTTAGCACTTCCGTTGGTGACCTTGCTGTCTTGGGGTTTACAGTGGCTTAGAAATGAACTACTGCAGGAACCCAGATGCTGACAAGGGCCCCTGGTGCTACACCACCGACCCGAGTGTCAGGTGGGAGTATTGCAACTTGAGGAGATGCCCGGAGACTGGAGGGGTTGTCCAGGCAACTCCCATGGCTCCCCAGCTTCCAAGTGTGCAGGCCACTTCTGAGCCAGGTAAGAAGTCAGAGGGCAGACATCTGCGGGCAGACAGGACACAGGTAAAGACCGAGTGTTGACGGTGATGAAGGAACCTCAGTGCCATCTTAGGGGAGGCAGGGTGGTGATTGTGGGCAGAGGGTGGGTGGGCAGTTTCCTGAGGAGCTCTGTAAACTCTCCAGTGTCTCTACTCACATTGTAAAGCTGGGTTACCTTTGTGTCCTAGCCTAAGTTCCCCTTCTAACAGCCTGCTAAACTGGGGAGTGTTTCCAAACCCATAAACATTTCTGGCAACTTCTTAAACTAGGTGGAAAGCCCTGTGGTTTTCAGCATTTCAGTGTTCTGAGGGATGAGATACTGGGTCTGTCACTAGAGAACAACCCAAGCCTAATGAGTTTACTCCGTATCGTGCTTGGACTCTGCAGTGGCATGTAACCTCCCACTTCCATTCCCACAGACTGCATGTATGGGATTGGCAAAGACTACCGGGGTAAGAAGGCCACCACTGCAACCGGCACGCCTTGCCAGGGATGGGCAGCCCAGGAGCCCCATGAGCACAGACTCTTCACCCCAGAGACAAACCCACGGGCAGGTCTGGAAGAAAACGTAAGCCACTCTGATTCAGATTCTGTTTTGTGTTTTCCTGACAAAACTTTAAACAGAATTGGTTTGGGGCCACACACATGTTCAGTTCCTAGTATCTTCTTTGAACCCAGGCCTTTTTCTTTTTCTTTTTTTTTTAAAGATTTATTTTTATTTTATGTATATTATGTATATGAGTGTTTTGCCTACATGTACGTATGTGCACCTCATGTGTGCCTGGTGCCCTCAAAGGCCAGAAGAGTGTGTTGGATCCTCTAGCACTGAGTTACAGGTAATTGTTTGCTGCCGGGTGGGTACTGGGAACCAAACTCGGGACCTCTGCAAGAGCAACAGGTGCTCTTAACCACTGAGCCATCTCTCCCGCACCCCTTGCTTTTTAATGGAAGCTTTGTTATGTCAAAGTTTGGTTGTAACATTCGCCTTTGCTGATCAACTTGACCTCCAGCCCCTCTTCCTTCCTGGGAGATCAAAGCATGGGGCTGAAAGTCCCAATGTTCTAATCACAGGGTTGGTTCTGAATAGTAACTACCTACCTGCCCCTCCTCCCATCATCAGGACTTCCAGGAGCCTTCAAGAGTCATGCCAGTAAAGCAAAAGATGTTCCTGTCACTTAGGAAGTTCCCAAGGATTTAGGAGCTCTCTCTGCTGCCACCACTCAGGAAACAGCACAAATGCTAGGAGTGATCAATTTTGGGGCAGAGACCACATTTGCACATATTATACCACAGTATCACAGATGATACTGCCCTTCTGTCTTGACCCACGGAGGACACAAACATTTTAAATCAACAGCAAGGCTTCATGGGGAGGGGATTATTGAAGCCGACCAGTGAAGAGACAGTCAGCATGATCCCACTGTCCCACATGGATGGCATTCTCACATCTGGTTAACTCCTGGAGGAGGACCACCCTGTATCTATTCTACCTTCCAACCCTCCAGGGCCCCTGCCCTCTATCCAAGGAGTGGTCTCATACTAGAACATGCTTTGAGCAGGGATGCAGGACCAGTGGCATTCTGTGATTCACAGGTTTTATAAACACCTCAAAAATAACTTTGCCAGAAAAATAAGAAGGAAAGAAAAAGGGTCACCCCCTTCCATGCCTCCCCCCCTTCCATGCCTCCACACCTTGTTGAGCCTCCACCCCAGGGGAGACATACCTCAAGCTCCTCACTCTTTTTTCAGTACTGCCGAAACCCGGATGGTGATGTTAGTGGTCCGTGGTGCTATACAACGAATCCCAGAAAACTTTATGACTACTGCGATGTCCCTCAGTGTGGTGAGTGCCTATTTTCCCTCCCTCCCTCCCTCTCTCCCTCCCTCCCTCCCCTCCCTAGAAACTACTCAAATAAATGCAGTGATCGTGTCCTAAATGAGGACTTGCGCAAAATCAAACAGCTATCTACAGAAGATTGGGCACCCATCTGCACCCCCCCCACCCCTCAATTTACAGCTGCACTGCAAAATTCACACTCATATAGATCCTGTGACTTCCTGATAACCACACAAAATGGCGAGAGAGGTACCTTATGGCATATTTTTATGTAACCTGCTTCAAGTTATTTCTGGAAAAATATGGTAAAATTGCCTTTCTGTGGAATAATAAAAATATTATAAAATTTAAAAAACAACCAGCTATCACAGACCTACAGACAGGCTTTGAGCTCAGTACTTTTGAGGAGGAAATGACTGCCTTTTCCCAAGCCCTCTTTCATATGGGTATCTTGAACCTGGCCTCTTACTGGTCCCATTTGTTACAAGAACATTACTCCCTGCCCCATCTTAGCTCTAACTTAAGTAAAAGCAATACTCTATCCAATACTAAGTTCTCAAAGCATAGAGGTGCCCCAAAGGCCTCAGGAAGCTGCCCTTGAACTCATCAGTGTCTTTCTTGAGATGCATGAAAAACAAATTCAGAGTCAGTGGGATAGGAAGTGTTGCCCTTGGGCAGTTGAAAAGAAAGAAAATCCACATGAATATTGAAAGTCTACAAACTATCTTCCTAAAATTCCTATGAAAAACTAATTCAGATTTTGCTGTTAGACCCTGGGTTTCCTATTCCTTAGTCTCCTCACTTAGAGATGGCACATTGGGTTCCTCCCTTGGGGATTCGAGACTCTTGTTGGGAGGAAGAGGCTTGGATCTGGGAATGGGAAGTTGACATTAGTTCTTAAGACTGGAATGACAAATCCATAGGTGGGCCTGCAATCGAAGCTACTTCTGCTCTGTGCTCAACAACTTTACAAACAGAAATTTTCCTACTTACAGAAAATCACTGTGGACTTCTTACAGTGTGGTGGTCTGTGGGTTCCGGAACCTTGACTGAGGCAAGGAGCTCGGCTTGCAAAGCTCTTAGGAGTGGCATCCCCAGTGGTGCAGGGCAGTGGTTAGGAGCATGTGGGTGGCTCCTGGGCAGAGCAGGAAGGTAGAAGGGAGAAAGACAGGGAAGCATGACAGGAAGGGTTCTGTCAGTGTTACTGTAAGTTGACCCTGAGTCTCTAGAGGTAGGGAACTTATAGTGGCCTGTTTCTCTAGTAGAGGCTTTTGTGTGTGCTGCAGAAACCGACTTGGTACCTCTCCACCTGAAAGCTCCTGGTGGGTCTCAGTGTTTCCTTTTCAACATCCACCCTCAGTTTCTGCCCCTTGGTCCCTGCCACCCTGTCTCTTCCTGCCCTGACAGCCTGCCCCTGAGCGGTGTCAGACCTGACATTCATGCCTGAAGCTCTAACCCTGGCTCATGTGCCTCTGATTTCCTCACCTCTGATCCTCCTAGGAGCAGCCCTAGCCACGACCTGGGCATCCAGCAGTCATAGCCTTCTGCAGGAAAGCAGGTTTCAGCCTCCAGGTGCCTGGGGTTAACGTCCCTTGCTCCCATCATGGAGAGGTTGGGGGACCTCACAGTCCAGTGGAATAATCCCCCTCCCATACTTTCTCCAGTCTCTAAGAGCCTTATTTTGATACCAAAACTGTACAAGGGGCTGTTTCCTCTGATAGCTTGTATGGTTTATTGTTCAACTCCCTGAGCATCTGTGGGCCTCCATCAAACCGTCCATGTATCACCTTGCACACCCACCTACTAGGATGTGAAGACTGAAAACGGGACTCTCAGCAATTCTTTTCTGTCTGGTACCCAGAACGATGCTGGTCTTATGTCAGGCACTGTATATCAGAATGCACCTTTATTTTTGTTTTTTAAGCTTTTTTCGGCATACAAAGGCATGGGTTTTACCTATGTCATTTTCATAGACATATCACTGTACTTTGTTCTTACCCCCCTCCCCCCGTCCTCCCCCATGTCCTCTCTCCCCTCTTGTTTGTCCTTCCCCTAGAAGTTCTCTCTTTTGCTCTGAATCCATTTTACTGAATAAATAGGTGACAAAAACCAGGAGACATACAGTTCTTCTAGGGTTGGGCTCACAGGGAGACCAGCCTAGGTTAAGGGTATCTTTACATATGCACTGTGTTTTTCGTGAATTTTACTTGAATTTTTCAAATTGAGAATTACTTTAAGGTTCCAATGCCTATTTCCAACATTTACGTAGATTTTTTGTTAACTTTGATTTTTAAATTTTTATTTATTTTTATTTATATGTATGTGTGTATACCTGCTTGTCTGTATGTGTAACACATGTGTGCAGTACCCATGAAGACCAGAAGCGGGCATCAGAACTCCTGGAACTGGAGTTACAGGTGGATATGAGCTGCCATGTGGGTGCTGTTGGGAACTAAGCCAGGTCCTCTGGAAGAGCAGCCAGTGCTCTTAACTGCTGAGCCATCTCTCCAGCACTCTTTCTTTTCTTTAGATATTTTATTGTTCTTTCTTTGGAAATTTCAGATTTTGTTTAAATGAAACATTTCCTAACAACCTTTTTTTTAATCCTCCAACTTTTACATTATTTTTAACTTATAAGAAAAATACTTCTTAAATGTCAAAAAATACGATAATTAACTTGTAAACTTCCTTAAATAACTCACCCAAGAGACTCTATGTAAATATTAAACTAATAACACTATTCAGGTTGCACCAACAGCAGCATCATAAATAAGACAACCCCAAATCATAAGTATAGATGACTCAGTTCAATCTTCTAGTTCACCTGCTTCTTCTTTATAATATTAACTTCAAGAATTTGCCCACTTGAAGCACACAATTCTTCACTGTGTGTGTGTGTGCACAGGTGTGTTTAGAGGCTAGAAGTCAACTGTGACTGTCATTCCTCAGGTGCCATCCACCTTGCCTTTGGAGTCAGGGTCTCTCATTGACCTGGACTCGCCAGGTAGGCCAGCTGGTCAGTGATTCCAGGGATCCACCTGTGTCTACCTCCCCAGTGCTGGAAATACAAGTGCGTGCCACTACTCCAGATTTTATCATATGGGCTCTGGGGACTCAAACTCAGGTCCTCATGCTTACAAGGCAAACACTTTACTGAGACAGAGCTGTTGCTCCAGCCCCTATTTATTTACTTTTATTTAAAATGATAGATTTGCTTGAATTACTTTAGTAATTGCTAGGTTAGTATATTCAATATAAATAATAAGTAAGGAAAAGCAAATAGACTTTGTTTTGAATACAGAAACTGCAGTACTGTCATCTCTGTAGTCATTTTTCCAACACATACATGTATTTTACATATCATATTATACATATATGTATACATGTTTTATACTTATCATATAATCCCCTTGAACTTATCAGTGTCTAGCTTGAGATGCATGAAAAAAATTCCCAGTCACTGGGATAGGAAGCTTATTTTATTTTTAAAATTTTCTTTATTATTTTATTTATGTGTATGAGTATATTGCTTGCATGTAGGTAAGTGCACCCATGTTGTGCAATGCCCTTGGAGGACAGAAGAAACTATCAGATCCCCTGGAACTGGAGTTACAGACAGTTGTTAGCTGCCATGTGGGTGCTGGGATTTG